CGATTGGATTGGTGCATCCGAGGATTGAGGATTGGTCAAAACTAGTGAGCTTGCTGATTCAGTAACTTCATCAGTAACTCTCTCTCTCTCTCTCTTCAACAAACTAGGCAACGCTTTCAATTTCAATTCAACTTCACTTATCAATTTGTCACAGTCTGCGTCAATAAAAGAGGCCAAGGAGAAGACTACTCGAGAGGGCACTACAGCGAGCTCACTGGGATTTTGCAGTAGTGGGTTTCTTTTTCCCCAAACAGTTTACGGTTAGGGGTTCTCAATGCCTTGGTGTTGGATGGTCTGGTCGGGTTCCCGGCCAGCTTGTCTCCCACTTCCTTTCATTTGTCTTCCAGTTTTTTTCATTTGTCTCCCAGGCTGGGTGCTTGTGGTCGGGTTCGCGGCTGGCTTGTCTCCAACTTCCTTTCGTTTGTTTCCCACTTCTGTTCATTCGTCTCCCACTTCCTTTCATTTGTCTCCCACTTCTTTTCATCGGTCTCCCAGTTCTTTTCATTTGTGGTCGGGTTCCCGGCTGGCTTGTCTCCCACTTCCTTGGCTTGTCTCCCAATTCCTTTCATTTGTCTCCCACTTCTTTTGATTGTCTCCCAGGCTGTGTGGTTGTGGCAGGCTGGGTGCTTGTGGTCGGGTTCCCGGCTGGCTTGTCTCCCACTTCCTCTCATTTGTCTCCCAGGCTCGGTGTGCTTGTGGTCGGGTTCCCGGCTGGCTTGTCTCCCACTTCCTTTCATTTGTCTCCCAGGCTCGGTGCTTGTGGTCGGGTTCCCGGCCGGCTTGTCTCCCACTTCCTTTCATTTGTCTCTCACTTCTTTTCATTTGTCTCCCAGGACTCCCAGGCTGGGTGCTTGTGGTCCGGTTCCCGGCTGGCTTGTCTCCCACTTCCTTGCATTTGTCTCCCATTTCCTTTTATTTGTCTCCCACTTCTTTTCATTTGTCTCCCAGGTGCTTGTAGTCGGGTTTCCGGCCGGCTTGTACTTTTCCCCCAAACAGTTTACTGTTAGGGGTTCTCAATTCTTTCTTAAGATGTGTCCGCCCATTGTGTCACTGCTGGTGTCCGCCCACTTCCACTGGCCATGTAGCATTTCTATTCATTTGTCTCCCAGCTCTGTCACTGCTGGTGTCCGCCCTTTTCCGCTGGTTTCTATTCATGTGTCTCCCAGGTCTGTCACTGGTGGTGTCCGCCCTTTTCCGCTGGTCGTGTAGCATTTCTATTCATTTGTCTCCCAGGTCTGCCCAGCCACCGGCCACCGCTGAGGGCATGGTGTATACCATCCAAAGCCAGGCTAGCACCGCACCAAGGCATTCCGTCCACCTCAATCCGCCGATGGGGCATCCGTTACTCAGGCATTGTGCTGCTATAACATTGACATATATGCCACCAACCTCTATAGTGCTCCCTTTTTGGATCTGCCAACTCACAGAGATTTATGACCAAGTCAGGCAGACATGCTTGTTTGAACCTGATGAGCCCGGTCGGTCTTAGAGTGTTCCTTGCTGGCATCTTTGCATCTCAAGCTAGTATACTTGGGCCATGAGCATGCAAGACAGACGAAGCAATGAACATATCGGGCACACCAAATTTCTCAGACAAGACGCGCGCGGCTTCGATTTTGCCCGTGTCATGCCAGCTGCTGATGAACTCTCCGACAAGGATGCTGCATGCCTCATGTCCGAGGCGCTGGCTGTTATGAAGGACAACTTTGCACCAGAGCATTTGCCAAAATGTCAAAACGCATCCACGACTACTTGCTGCCCATTAGCGTGGCGAGTTGCCAGGGGCTCTTCTCCACCACCATGATGTTTGCCGCAGCAATGCCAGCCTTGACGAACGGCGCGTCCATACAGCTGTAGACACAAAAGCCTTCGCCGCTAAGCATGCTCATGTTCCACATTGCGCCCCCGCAGAAGGGTAAGAGTCGCTTGTTTCAGGCGGTCGAAATGTTGTACGAGCCTTGGCTTTCTGGATATACCTTTTCGCCCTGATGTGAGGTGTGTGGGTTGATTATAAAGCTGTGTGCAGCTTTAGCCGCAGCTGTTCTTTTTCATGTCGGTTGTGCCAGTCCAGGAAATGGCCGACGCTTGCGTTCTTACCATGGCGGAAGAGCATATGGCCACATTGGTGGCGAATGCGGAGCGGGAGTCGCGAGTGCCTTTCGCAGTCCGTCACTATGTCCGAATTTTTCTTCAGGTGTTCTACCGATTCCCACAGATGGAGTTTGGCGCCAGAAAGGAAAAGGAGGGACGGCGCCTGTGGTATGGCCAAGCATTCAATTTAGATGAAGCCTATGAATGGCTGGAGAACCTCTCTCTCATTGGCTGTCCAGGTGAAAAGTCTAGAGTCTAGAGCTACGAGCATCAACCCGCACGCATTCATCTACACTCAACACTCTGATTGCGAGGGGAAAGACAAAGCGTGCCACCAGGACATCTGCATCTTATGAAGGCAAGGCTTCCCAGCACGTCAGCTTCTCCGTCTTGGGCAGTGGACACCCAACCAGAATCATTGCTATGGAAAGGAACCTGGAAGGCCAGCATACGGCTGCAACCCGTGAACGCTTCATGAAGTCCGTCGACTCGTTTGTGGCACGGCGTTATGCCTTGCCAGAGAGCATGTTGGTGGCTGACCCAGATTTGCCCGCATTTACATGGCTTCCCCTGACTACCTTGCAAAGCTGCCATTTCAAGCGGGAAGGCGTTGTCAACAACCCGGAATACTTCGCCAACTCCGTGGCTGAATCGCAGGATGCTGACCAAGAAGGCTACCCCATCTCCTCTCCCGACAGTGCAAACCGATGACAGCTGAGGTGCCTTGGCTTGGATCTTGACATGTTGTGGCGGAGAAGTCTATATAGTGCTATATTGGGCTGGCGAACAAAAAATGTCAAGACGGTCCCCCGCCGCTTCCCTGATAAGGGTGCACAACCTATATAACTTTCAAGCTTTTTGCGGTCGGCGCCCAGGACAAAACCTGGGAATGCAGACTGCTCCGATTGGCTTGGTTCCTCTTTGCTTTGCGCTTGCGCAGTTTCTTTTTCCCTGCAAGACCACCACCAGATGAACCCATGCACAGCGCGGAGTGTTTTGGGGGTTGCGCACTCAAGGTACCCAGGTGGCGCAAAATGTGCGAGTGTCCACAGTTGGAGCTTCGGAGGCGCTGCGTGCTGGGGCTGCAGCACATCATGGACAAATGTCTGCCGCCATCGCTGTGCTGGCGCTGGCCAGTGGCTCTGGCTCTTTCGATGCTGCTGGCAGCCTTATGGTGACTGCTGAGCATGTGCAGGCGCAAGTGGCTGGTTTGCGTTTGTTCAGCTTCTGGTGCGCAGGCTTATTAATTGCTCAGTGTTTTCCCTTCAGGTGGCCAGTCGGCTGGTCGAGCTCAACCTTCAGATTCGGAGCGCTTTCCGCGGATGGGGAGAGGCCAGCTGATAGCGACAGTGATCCAGAATGCGTTGCCAAGCCGGTGCACGGTTTTGGTTCCTTTGCCGCGCCTGCTGTGTAGCACTTCTATTCATTTGTCTCCCATGTGATTTCTTTCTTTTTGTCTTTCAGGTTTGGTGCCTGCACTGCTGTTTTCTGCCCTGTCCGCTGGAACAGGTTCGCCTGTGAAAGGTTCTTGCTCCTTTGAAAGGGGCGCGTGACTGTCTCCGGGATTGCATTCCTGCCGCACTGTGTAACTCTCTCAGCTTTGTTTTCCTTTTCGGGCAAGCGTTGGATGAATGACCGGATTGGATTTCGGCGGCGTGGCAGCGATCTCTCTGTTCAGTTGGGACAGAGGGCATACGTCAGGCACCAAAAATCAATTTCATGTCACATGCTTCGCTCCTCATGCTTTTGTTTCTTGTCCTCGCGCGGTCAGCTCCCCGCTGATTGAGCAGCATGACCAGCATCATGTTCGCGCTTGAAGAATAATTCCCCAAAAGGTTTACTGTTATAGGGCTTCTCAATTCTTTCTTAAGATGTGTCCGCCCGCTCTGTACTGCTGTGTCCGTCTCTGCCTTGCAATCCTTTACATTTGTCTCCCAGCTCTGGGCTGCTGTGGCCGCCTTTGCCTTGCAATACTTTGTCTCCCAGCTCTGGACGTCGCAAGCTCTAGTTTCGATTTTGAAAAACACAAACTGTTTGGGGTCTACGGTGGTGTAATTATTGTATAGTTTTTGGTGGTGGTGGTAGTAGTAGTAGTAGTCGTAGTAGTAGTAGTAGTCGTAGTAGTCGTAGTCGTAGTCGTCGTCGTAGTCGTATGTGTCGTAGTCGTATGTGTCGTAGTCGTAGTTGTAGTGGTAGTATAGTAGTAGTAGTAGTCGTCGTCGTCGTCGTAGTCGTAGTAGTCGTAGTGGTAGTAGTACCGGGCCCTGCAACTTAGTGTCAATGGCTGACGACAGTCGGCGGTTGCCCTGTTTGTTTGTGTACCGTACCTTACCCAAAGAGAAACAATTTGCTCATGGCTCTTGGCTTGGACCAGATGTGGAGTTGTTTTCCAACAAGGAAGATTGGAGATCCTTTGAAGAATGCTTTCCTATGGAGCCCAAAAACCTGAGTGTATAGTTGGGGATCGCTGTGGGATTTGCAGAGTTCCGCGGAAGAAAGCATCAGAAAGAACCCAAGAAGGGGTTCTTTTGAAGAACTGATTCATGGGCCGCTCAGCTGATCAAGCGGACTCAGTTCTTGAGTCCAGACATTTCCCTGTGGGTTGATTTGAATGACTTGAAGTCCTGACATCCATTTTGCTATTACAAGTCTTCAGTTTCCTGACATCCTTTGCAGAAAGATCAAGACTTCAAGGGGCGGTCCCATCCTGGAAGATGCTCTCCAAAAGACTTGTGTGCTCGTCGTGTAAGAAATCCTGTCCAACAATTGAATTCTGGGGGACACAACTCAACCGAAGCATGTCATTTTTGTTCGACTCTTTTTGTGAGTCCTCAAGACCTCCAACACACCTACAAACAAACACACAGCGTGGAGGGTCCTATCACCTCTTGCTGTGCAGCAGCCGCGCAATGGCGAGCTTCAGGGCCTGTGTGGACTTACAGCTCAATGAGGCATGGCAGTGCGGAGCAAAACACCCCCGATCCTCAAGGCACCAAGAGAACCCCCCCCAAGCAATTTGTGAATTCAACACGTTTGGCATTCCAATGTTGACCCCTGGACCCATTCAAGTAGTCGAGACGGTTGGAGATGTTCTTCGGATCACTAGAAGGCTATCAAATGAAGTTGGAACTGTCGGTCCTTTTTGTCGAAGAAAAGCCCTGAGTCTTCGAGTCTTTGCCCTCTCTTTGTTTTTTTTTCTCTCTCTCTCTCTCTCTATCTCTCTTTCGCAGACGTCGCATTTGCTCGCACTCCAGGTGCGGCGACGGCTGCAAGAAAACCTGGCACAAGAGTTGGAGCGTTTGGGCCAGGACGAAAGTGTGCGCAAATGAGTTGAGAAACATTGAGAGACTAGAGACTCCTAGAGACTCAGGAATCTGGGAGGGAGCCTATCGACGCTTTGGGGGGGAGGGGGGAGGGATCGGTCTTCTACCATCAGAACCCTTTATTCCTAGTAGCTTCTTGCTCCTAGTAGTAAGGCCAGGAGCCCCTAGTAGCGTCCTTGCTCCTAGTAGCGATGCCCTTTGTTCCTAGTAGCGTCCTTGTTCCTAGTAGGAAGTTGTTTGGGGGACTCCTGGATCCATTGGTCCATCCTATGGGCTTTGCCCATCAAGTCGTGTATGGTAGGCCACCCGGCCCCCAAGGACTGTAGATGACCAGACCAGACGTTTGCGCAACTTTGCATCCTTGTACAGGGCAATCTGTCGTTGTGAACTAGTCTACGGTGAAGATTTTGATAGATTTTGCATGCATGTAGTTAAGTTGGGTGGAACTGAGCAAGACGCTCGAACGGAGTGGAGGTGAGGTGGTGAGGGTGAGGAGGTGAGGATGACTCGACAATAGCACATGTTTTACTTTGGGATCTTTGAGCATGTCTTAAAATGAATGAGAAGACATGCAGAAAGATGAAGTAGGAAAGGGCAATCCCCATAAACGGTGGCGTTTGATGGAAGAAGGCGTATTCAGCAGGAAGTCCACGAGTTGGTTGGTCAATGGCGGCTACGGCTGCTTAGTTGAATTCTGTTTGCACCGTTTCCGACAGCCAAGGTTGGCCTGTTGTTTCTTTGAAGACGCACAAACACCCTAGCACATTTGTTAGTCGCCAGCTATGAACCTTGGATGGGGATCTTTGCTAAGGTTTGGTTTGGCAACCTGCACCGATTGATTTGTGTGAGAATCTTTGATCATCATTCAATCGCTCTAACACTGCCACGCCCGGTATAGTCGAATCATGTCGAATCCTTCTTCAGAATCATGCTGAGCTGGCCCCATTCTGGAAGGGGTACATCAATTAAGACAACCATAGACAACCCAAACAAGGGTGGCATGGATGTATTCTTCCTCCAATCCCCGACTGATCCGTAGGCAGTGAACCGGTCGCATTTCTGCAGGCTTATCCTCCCTCGTCAAAAAACAGCCGCTGAGCCCTCGAAACGGCCAGGACCTGGTCGCAAGTCTTGGTGACGCTTCAATGAGTCCACGGATGATCGAGCAAGTAGGTTGGACATCTGGGGGCCGTCCGGGCATGTGTTCCCATCAGGTCAGTTGACAATTGTCAATTCTCTAAAATTGTATTTTGTATTTTGACAATCTTAAATGGAGCTTTTGTTTTGCCTAGTTACTATATGTAGTTAATTTATTTTTGACGTTTGCCGTGCTCAATCTCATAGTGTGGCTCGTTGACCGCATTTAGCTCCAACTATGAAGTAAGCAACGTTGTGAACTAGATCGGCCACAATTTGAGACACCATTCACGTAAGCTTTGCAGAAGCTCCTGTGGAAGCAGATGTAACAAATGTAAGTAATTGTTGTTTGGCGACAAAAGCTGCCCCGAAGCCTGATACTGGAAGAACAGGCAGCGGTGAGAAAGCCTTGTTAGGTTGCTTGTTCCTTTCCATGCATTCGCCTGTCTACAATTTGTGCTAGGTAGCTGCTAGGTCCGCTAGGTCTTCTCCAGCCGGCAAGGTGTACAGTGGTGGGCGCCTTTAAATGCCAGCTTGCGTACATTATACTTTGCCTACATTATACTATCATATCACATCCATCGTGGAAGCTTAGTGGAAGTGACAGCAATTTGTTTGCTGGAATTGAACTATGGAGGAACATGGCGACACAAGGGGAACATCTGAAGCCGCCAAGCTATTTGGATTGAAATTGCCGAGAATGACCCAGCGGCCCCAGCCTACCAATTGCTATCACTTGTTACTTCTCATCGCTTCCCTCCATCTCCTTTTTGGGTTTCGGATCAACTCGTAGAGAGCTCTAACAATTTGCAGTGACGGTGAAAGAAAGGAAAGGAAAGGGTTTGTCTTTGGTTTGATGTATTTTTGATTCTTCGTTGGGATGGCTATATCAGATATTCACATATATATATTATATATATATTTATACATAAATATAGATAGAGAGATAATAGATCTATACATACATCATATAGCTCTTTGACTATTTATTGACGACACCCTGGTAAGAACTAGATTAGATCTGCGCTTGCTCCTCAAAGATAACATGAGAAACCTCAAAGGTGCATGCTGCATACCTGCTCTACTAGAGTTACTAGAGCTATATATGCTTGGGAAACCTCAGGCTGATCCTTTGTAGAGTTTTGCTGAATGTTCACAGGTTCAGCAGCTTCCAAGTTTGGGATAGTAGGTACTCAATACCCTAAGGCAATTTTGTGGCATTGTTTGTCTTGTTTCGGAAACACAGCCACTCATGCCATCCAAAGAAATCGAAAGGTGCCAGCGTGAGCATCGATCTTTGGAAAGCAGATCTTTGGCGAAATGAAGAGGATGAAGAGACGAAGGAGCAGCCCCTCCACATGATCAAAGAGGCACAGCAGCTGAAGGGAAGGCCATCAAAGTCCAAATAGCGATGGCCTCCAATCTACTTGAGATGGCCTCCACCCTAGAGGCCCTAGCGATGGCTTCCTAGGTTGGTCACTTCGCCCCGGTCATCCTTGCATGACCTCCGGATTTTACAACACAACCAGCATCCAACACAGAGCCCTGCTCTCACAACCGCTTGCACGTGGTCCCCAGCAGCCCCCTCATTCGCGCATGCAAGCCGTGTGCAAACGTCTGCTCTCAGGTGTCAAAAGATCAGGTGTCAGAGAGATCAGAGAACTCTGCACCTCTGATGGTGACGATCGACTCTGTGACCAATTTCCAACACAGGCAAATCAGTATGGATTCTTGTGAACGAGTCCGCAGCGTGAAGCGCCAACCGTTGGTTTTGCACCCCATGTGGTCGCAGGACAGGGGGAAGCCAGGGCTTGCAAGACATGGAAGGAGGAAGGGATGGAAGGAATGCTGGAATGGAACCAGACAGAGACGGAATCCAGCTGACTTGTACAGAATGAACTATTTCTGTCGTGAAACTACGTACGCACGATGTTCTTAACGCAAGTGTTGATTTGTTTGCCATATGCTCAGGGAATAAATGAGAGCGTTGTGACAGCAAGCCGAGGTGCCGAGCATGTTGGTCGTGAACAGGATCGTTTTCTGATTCTTTAACTTCCAGCATTGTACCAAAGTGCTTTCAAGCTACCTTGGATCTAGCATGTTCTTTCCAAAAATACACAGGAAGGGATTGGGCAGCTGGGCGCCTAGTCCTGGATTATTGGGTCATAAAGTCCGACATGATTACATGAGGACAAGATGCAGTCACCCGGTAGGAAGACATGCCGAAACTGGAAGCTGGGTCCACAAAATTTTACATTTGCTCATTGGACAGTTTACAGGTAATGTTTCCGTGTGACGAACATGAAAGCTGTTTCGCGGGCTCCGGCAGTCCAACATTCAAGACTTCTCACACAGGCTTTCAATTCCCCACCTGTCAGATGAGGGTTGTTAGACTTTATGTCAGCTGCCTTGCTCCTCCGCCTCCTCCTCCTCGTCCTCCTCCACCTCCTCCTCCGGACCTCAACCGCAAGTGCAGGATGCCGGACCTGGCAGTGTTTCGCGCCGGACCTCAACTGCCAGCTCCGGCTGGCAGTGTTCCCCGCTGGATCTCAACCGCGATTTCCGCTTGGCAGTGTTCCCCGTCGGACCTCAACCACGAGCTTCGGCAGGCAGTGTTCCCCGCCGGACCTCAACCGCGAGCTTCGGCGGGCAGTGTTCCCTGCCGGACCTCAACCGCGAACTTCGGCTGGCAGTGTTCCCCGCCGGACCTCAACCGCGAGTCAGAAGATATGCCAGATAGAACGCCAGAATGTCAGAAAGACTGTCAGAAGATATTCAGAAGATATGCCACGTAGAATGTGAAATAATGTCAAAAGATATGCCAGAAAGAATGTCAGAAGATATGCCGGAAATATGTCAGAAAGGCTGTCAGAAAGAATGATCCATATGCCAGAATCAAAATCAGAAAGAATGTCAGAAGAGATGCAAGAAAGAATGTCAGAAGATATGCCAGAAAAAATGTCAGAATATATTACAGACAAAATGTCAGAAAGAGCGTCAGAAGAGATTCCAGAAAGAAAATCAGACAGCATGTCGGAAGATATGCCAGAAAACATGTCAAAAGAAATGCCAGAAAGAATGCAAGAAGGTATGCCGGAATATCAGAAATATTGTCAGAAGATTTGCCAGAAGGAATGTCAGAACATATGCCAGAAAGAATGTCAGAAGATATGCCAGAAAGACTGTCAGGAAGAATGTCAGAAGATATGCCAGAAAGAATGTCAGCAGATATGCCAGATAGATGCCAGAACGAATGTCAGAAGACATGCCAGAAAGCATGCCAGGAGAGATGCCAAAAAGAATGTCAAAACATATGGCGGAACAAATGTCAGAAAGAATGTCAGCTGAAAGAATGCCAGAAGATATGAGAGAAATACTGTCAGAAGATATGCCGGAAACATGTCAGAAATAATGTCACAAGATATGCCGCATAGAACGCCAGAAAGAATGTCAGAAGGTACGCGGAAGATATGCCAGATAGAATGTCAGAAAAAATGTCAAAAATATACCAGAAAAAAACAAAAATAATGTCAGAAGATATGCCAGAAAGAATGTCAGAAGATATCCCAGATAGAATGCCAGAAAAAATGCCAGAAACAATGCCAGAAAAAATATCAGAAAAAATGTCGGAAGATATGCCAGAAAAAATGTCAGAAGATGTGCCAGAGAGAATGTCACAAGATACGCCTGAAAGAAGGGATGCCAGAAAGATTGCCTGAAGATTTGCTAGGTCGAATGTCAGAAAATATGCCAGAAAAAATGCCGAAATAATGTTCATTACATGCCAAAAAATGTTCATTGTTCTCTTCCCGGCAGTGAACTGACCCCGTCCGGAAACAGCTGGCAATTCAACATAGTGGAACTGCAATGGAACAACTGTCAGCATCCTCCAGTAGTAGTTGAAACTCGACAGGTAGGCATCAAACATGGAGCGCTTTACGTGGGGATGATTTACCCCCATGACCCCATGTACCAATGGGTTGACCATGGTTGACCATCTTACCTTTTCGTTTACAAGGCCTGGGGTGAAACACACCGGCCACAGGAGGTCCGGGTCACCAAGAGCAACTCTCTGCGGAACACGGACCTCATGCGCCGGCCCTCGCGCTTCGCGATCCGTGCTGGCGAAGAGGCCTTAGGCCAGAAACTGTGGGGATGAGATATTGGCAGAGGAATTAGAGGCATACTCGCACAATCGTTGAAAATTCATAAAGAGCTTGAGTATGAATCCTTCAAAAACATTTTTCTACAAACAATTGTTGTCGGATGTTTATGGTAGTTCAAGTTTGGTTTTCAGAGATGTTCAAGATGCAAATTGCAAACATACAGAGGCTAGGCAGGAAATTGCAGTAGCAACAACAACACATCAACCTGACAATCTAACTATTTGACATGGAGAGAGGTTCTTGGCTTGACCTCCTGCATGGTTCATTTATGTGTGACGGTGGCCACCTTCTCAGATTTGATGGATTCTCACCCAGAGGCTGCAATGTGCGTAATTAACATTGAGACCAGAGTATTAGTGGTTCGGGAGAGATTGTTTGATGGAACATGGGCTACGAAAGAGGTTCCTGGAGTAATTATATACTTTGTATATACTTTGTTTCTCCATCGCAAGTTTCAAAGTTCTGTGCTTTGTTGGAGTACTTCGCTCCTACTCATCTCTCCTCCAGCCCCTTCCATCCCCAAACTTCTGGCAGAGTTCCCAGGTGGGCAAGAAGTATTCCAACTGATTTCAGCTGTTTCAAGTCTCCATGTTTCATGCCAGCACGAGTTGCGATGGCATACGATGACTCGATGGGGTCCATTTGGTGCAGGAACGGGATGTCTTCAGATGATGGTCTTCCGACCCAGCAGCCTCCGCTGCCTGATGTGGGACATTGTTTGCTTCATTGCCATCGTCTATGACACAGCGCCTTGGTGTGCTCGGTGGTCTCCGCCACTGCGCATGATTGATGGCGGACCCAATATCTAATATCGTACAGTGAGCCTAATATCCATAAGATTGACAGCGACACCCACGTTGCAATCGGTTAAGGGGCAAAGACCTTCACCTGATGGACAGTAACTAGCTGAACAGTTGGCCCAATTGCACCTCCCTGCTTGAAGGGGAGTGGGTCAGGTCCAAAAAGTTGTAGGCCTAGCAGATGCCGGTTTCGAGGTTGATGGGATCCTCTGGGATATTGCTGTTGTTGCTTTGTATTTGGTCCTGTCAGTATTTTGGTTCTTCAACACCACATCACAAGAAATGCATCAGGCAAGGATATTTACATGGAGATACCAACCTCCTTCCAACAACTCAAAAACATGACACTGGTGGGACCAAGATGCGTGGTGCCTCACGCGTTGAGCAACCAAACACACTCGGCCACGGCAAAGTTCATGTGCACTTCACTGGGCACTGATGCTGAGTTCATGTTTGCAGGGAAAGGTGGCTAGAGTGATAACCAAGCTCAGAAGGGAAGGAAGGAAGGAAGGAAGGAAAAAAGAAAAGGTCCAAAGATCCTACGAACCATATATATATAGTACTATATAGTAATATAGTATTATATAGTAATATAGTATAGAAATAAAGAAACACATAGAAAAAACAATGATATATATATAATAATGATAAGAATGAGACCTGAAGTTTTGGGCAAAGGAGCATATCATAGCATATAATATCCTTGCAGATAAACGTCTCCTCGAAAGGGGGTGTTATCAAATTCATTTGAATTTGGAAGGTGTACAGTGTACACAATTATATAAGTGAGCCATATACAATGGTCAAACACAAACAGCATCAGCTCTCAAGATGTGTATTCCCCGCATAGGTGGAAGTATTATGAATCAAGTCAAAATCATACATGGACGGGGGATGTGGTGGGAAAATAGGCCATAGCTGAATTTCCGATCCAAACAGACTTGGAATCCAAGCAGACTTGGAATAGTAGCGTCGTTGCTCCTAGTAGAAATGCCCGTTGCTACTAGTAGCTTCTTGTTACTAGTAGTAAGGCCAGGAGCTACTAGTAGCGTCCTTGCTCCTAGTGTTTTTTTGCTCAGATCATGGTCCCTCTCTTCTCAGCTTTTCCAATTGACACCACTTTGGCGCTACAGAGTCTTGGCACCATCGAGTCCGTGCGGCGCCGTGCGGCCAAGCCCAAATATGTAGCATTGCCTGCGAGATCTTTCTGCAATTTGTTGACTCGTACACATGGTTCATTCTTGAACGTGACAGACTCAAGTAAAGGTGAATGTTTGACACACACCTCACATGGAGACATTCTGACCTGGGCAATATAGCGTCATCCTACCCAGATATTCTCAGAGTCAGAGAAGTCAGAGAACGCAAATCCAGATGGATCAAGGCAAGCATTGTGCAAAAGAGCTGGTTCTATTTTGGCTCATCCTGCTAGTTAACTCTTGCACGACCAAAACGCCCCCTATGACGACCTGAGATCACACAGACTTTGCACTTCCATGTCGAGTCTGAGTGCTAGGAACCGATTGTGCTGGCTGGGTTTAAGCTCACTGAGTTTGCCAGGATTGAAGCCCGCATGGATGTTGATCATGGGGATGTTCTGCCTTTTTGCCCCGAACTCTTCGTCAAACATCCATGGGTCATCATGGATCCATAGATCAGAAAAGATCCTTGTGAAACGAACGGTGCAGATACATGACGGATCATCAAGGTTCTACCAACACACTGTGCAGATTCGATATTTGAGGATCTTGGAGACTAGCAGTACCGTTGTGTGGGTTATCGACATGTTTGCGACGTTCTTCCGTGGATTCCTGGACACACATACAGGCAGGGCATTGAGGCAAATCGCAGGACCAGGGCAAACGATAGAATTTGATCACATTTGATCGATTTGCTTCAAACGCATGTGTTCCTCGTGTTTTTCCCCATGATGTAATGCGATACGTCAGGGATCTAGTAGATCAAGATCCGATCATTGCTTGAATACATCGTCGAGGGTTCAAGACCTTGTGCAACACACCAGCTTCTCAACCTGACCGGAGGGCACGGAAGGTAGTCCTGGAAGACAAAACTACTGTACTGTAGCTGAATGAAAAGGCAACGACCTCAAAGTCGACCTGCTGAATTGCCTCGGGGCCTGCGGTCATCATCCACACTTTAAGCCTCCAGCTCTTCGGGTCACAGGGATTCTCAGCACCAGGCTGGATCCCTGGAAGTGGTTTCATGATCTCTCAGTCGGTGAACAGCACATTTGTTGCTGCCTAAGGTCGGTTTCATTTGTTTAAGAGAGGAACCCCGTGAGTGTGCGCAAAGGCTTCAGATGTGTTTGATCCAAGGCTGTGCCATGGGGTTGCAATACCAAATGGCCGGGAATAGAGCGATGAAGAGTAGGAGAACCCTTGAGAACCCCATAATTTTACAATATTTTACGGTGTCAGTGTCGGGAGACGCATCAAAATAAACATATAAATGCAGCATCAATAAATAAGCAAAAATGCATCAAAAAAGAAATAACAATGCATCAAAAAAAACATAGAAAGAAACGAGCAAAGGAAGGAAGGAAGGAACGAGGCAAGAAAGGAAGAGGAAGCAAGGAAGGAAGGAAGGAAGGGCTAGCGGGAGGAAGGAAGGTAGGTAGGCAGGTAGGTAGAAACGAAGCAAGGAAGCAAGGGAAGCAAGGAAGCAAGGAAGCAAGGAAGGAAGGAAGGAAGGCTGTGAAATTGAAATGCGATGTTGCAAAGCTTTGCCCAGATGCCCAGCACAGAGACCATTCCAGTTATCAAAGGAAGATTCATTGGGGAAACTCCATGATATTTGCTTTTTGATCGTGCCAAGTTACATTGCGGGGGAGGCGCTGCGCCCTCCCCCGCGCCCC